AGCAAGATTGAAATCATTCCTTCGATAAGGTTTGATTCACCATCCACGACAAACAATTTAAATACGAATGAACAAACGAATGTGCTAATTGTAATAAAGGGTGAGAAATACATAGTAACAGATAAATTCATGATCCATCCACTAATTACGATTATTGGTAAAACAAAATAGATAATTTGAATTGCGGATCCTCCAGTATTATCAATAACGATATCCATTTTGTCTTTATAACCAAAAAGAACAGCGATTGCGTGTTTAGGTAAATTTCCTATACATGGAACTAATATAAATCCGGTAAAACTAACTCCGAGAGAAGGTGTGATAAATGAGAATAAATCAACTAATATATCTGTAATGTAAATAGAAATTCCTATAACGATTAAAGAAAAAACAATAGCGAATAATAATTTTTTTGTAAAGATTTTTGTTTTAGGTTTAATTTCATTTTCGACATTGATTTTAATATCATTTTCGTCATCTATTGTTACTATTGGTGTAATATCAGGTGATGAATTTGGTGACATTAATTTTTTATGTGTTTTCAATTTACAAAGAGTGAATAATCCATAATATATAATAAAGATTATAGCGAAACATCTGGATAAAAATAATATTTTTTCTCCTTCGATGATTGTATTGTAATGTTGAAGATTGAATAATATCAACAATGCAAATAATAATGTAGCGAATAAAACGGGTATGGTAGTGAGTTCTGCATTTTTTGCGTTAAAATGTTGTTGTTTGTATTTAAAACCAGATATCAAGATAGTAAATCCGTAAACGAATGATAAGTTAGATAATACAGATCCAACCATAGATAATATTGCGATTTCGATATGTCCATTTTTTATACTAACGATTCTGATAATTATTTCAGGAATATTTGTAGCTAAATTAGCGTAAACAGAAGTGTAGATTCCACCAATTCCTTCTTCGATAATTTCAGTTAATTTACCAAGCGCAGTATACAATAACGATAATGTGATAAAAGCTAGAATAAAAGTAAAAATTTCATTCCAGTTCAAAAAACGAGAAATGAGAGTTAAGATTATAAATGATATATTAAGAAATACGAAAGAAGATATTAGAATTTTCGATTTATTTTCTTGAATAAAAGTCATGATTGTTGTTTCGATAATTTATCTTGATTCATTTTCTATGCTTTAAATACTAATATTTGATTATTTAGATTTATGATTAAAATTAAAAAAATATTACGAAAAATACCAAAATAAAGTAAAAAAAATAATAAAAGAATTTTTAGAATGTTCTAAAAATCAAATAAAATTTTATTATAAAAATATATTTTAATGATTTGATGTGTTATACAGAAATTTTTTATTTAAAAATTTATCATTATATTTGTTAAAAAATAACGTTAGATCATAAATAAACAATTACAAATAAAAGTTAATTTGAAATAAGGGATGATCTTAGAACAAAGAATTTTAACGTGATTTAATTTGATAGAGTTTAATTATATCATTAAATATAATGATAAATTATCAATCATTTGATATTTTTTGTAATTGTTAAATTTTATGTAATTGTTAAAAAAGTTATTTGAGTGTGACGTTTTGCAAAAAAAATAAAAAAAAAAAGATATAAAAATTAAAAAAAAAAAAAATAAAATAGAACGTCACAATTTTTACTGCGTATCAAATAAAATAAAATGTCAAACACACCTCCGGAACAAGATATCACAGATCAAAGAAAGAATTTAGGAAAAAATAGTTGTTGAAGTCGAAACAATTTTAAAGAATACTACTGATAAAAAGAAAAATCGTTCCATGGAAGAAATTGAAGATGAGATTTTTGACGTTGAAACACAGATTAAACAATTAAAGAAAAAAAGTATTATCATTTTACATTTAATTATAATTTTATTTATTAATTTTATTTACTTATATTTAATTTAATTTTATTTATTATGATATTTAGAAAAGAGACTAGATGAGGAATTTATCGAAGTGAAAGAAAGACAAAAAGCAAAAAAGTTGAAAAGACAATTAAAACAATACGAGAATAAATAATATTTTCATAATTGTTTTTTTTTGAATAAATGTTTTTTGTTTGTTATTAACAATTTGTTTTTGCGATATTCATAAATATTTTTTTTTCAAATAATTTTTTT